CCTGTGACCACAGTATGTATGTAAGTCAGTAATAAACAAACATATTAAGTTAAAAATGATTCTTAAAAATAAGACAAATTGTAAGATCTACATAAAAATCAATACTTAAAAGGTTCTATATTTAACTTTCAAAAAATCTTTGTTATTGACCCCTACCTCTGAGGCCGTTAAGCGAACAGCAGTTGGCACCCTGTTGTCCAAGCTCCAATGCACGCGCTCTGTAGCTGCAAGCGAGCATCTGGGCATCAACTAAAACAGTGACAAACACAAGACTGACCGTGATTGACCGTCGTGTTGCTAGAATGCTGGACAATAATTAACAATCATATTTAGAATAACATTACGGTCTGCAATGTTTCTATTCTTCATTTGGACCGTTGGCTCCATGATACTGAGTCGCCTACCATCTGCAAATTACTTAATCAGCTGATGTTACTAAGCAGCCAACTGCAGATCCATGTAGAGTAGCAGTTAGCTGGCTAACCTTAGCTCAGTTTACGGTTAGCGCGTTGGCCGCACCGTCATTGCTCTTGGCTAGTAGAAAGCGCTTCGCACCGTTACATCCTTTGTTGCTGGCTAAAACAATATTTTTTGTCATAATACACGAGTTAGTATCATGGATCACGTTAGCTGGGGAAGTAATTTAGCAAGCTAGCCAACTAACATATTGAGTGTTCCAAAACTGCATACTTCCATTTGTACACATCAGTGTAGTACACGATGTACACTACATACTTCTTGTGTGGTGCACTGATTTCAACAGGGTAGTGATATCTCAAATCGCGCACTGCCATTTTGCGCTTACTAGGAGTGACAAAAGCTTTTTTTTAACCTCCTTTTCCTCTTCTTCACCTTTTTTTAAACACTGAATGCAAACGGATGGTTGAGCATTATTGCCAACATTTGAACCCTATCTCCGCCCAGACATAAACCAAACTTTTGCCCTAACACCAGTGCTTATTTAAATGTGCTGCTGTAGCTAGGGGCAAGTTAGCTAGCTAGTGAATGCTAACGTTAGCACTCGCGTTATTGTCCGTGGTACCAAAACATTACAGACCCAACAAACATTACTGACGGATTTTATTCGACAACACTATTGGTTTAGTGCAAAAAATATAACTGTCTCTTTGTTGTCCTAAGCCGCCATATCAAAAGTTGAGAAGTTTTGACGTAGCTCCTGTCACAAAGATGGCGACCTTTGAGGGCGTCAGTCATTCCACAGTCAACTTTTGGACTGTTTTGAGGGTGGCATTAGTACACTGCATTTTCCTGTACTATGCAGTTTAAACACACTTAGCACACTTGTGCACTCAAAATATTAAGTGTTCAGTACTGAAATATGCGGTTTGAGACACATTGCTACACTTAGGTAGTATTTTCCTAACGATAAAGTTAGCAAGCAAGCTGATTTAGCCAACTAGCTGTAACTAAGCTATGCAATATTGATCTGGCGTCGGTTGCTTAGTAACGTTAGTCGATTAATTTGCAAATGACGAGCTAGCTAATTTATCACCCAGCCCTGAAGTCTGGATGGATTAATGACATTAATCACTGAAGACGTTATTTTGCTACATTAGATAGCTAGCAATTTGTCTGCACTAGCATGCAAGCTAATATTAGCTAACATTAGTCAGCTAACAGTGCTTCCTGTAACGTTGGGATTTCTTTTCAGTACTGAGTGCGATGAAATTATGAGGGTCACTGAATTTGATGGATTTTCTGTTTATCAGGCAACAAATAAAATAAGAATTAGCTAGCTAGCACAGCCCATCAACGCCCACGAAATCCATTTCTCAGCTAACGTTAGCTATTTTCGCACACTGTTAGCACTGTAACAGTGCTCAAGAGCGACAGTTATGAGTTATCATGTATGTAAATCAAATGCATTTCATAAAAATAAATATTAGTTTAACAAAATTTAAACTAATTTAATCATAATTTTTACTTTCCAGCTGTAAAAATTAACTAAGTGTCTCTTGTTATGTCCTAAATTTTATCAATGTAGTTTTTCCTGAATATAATGTGACAAAGAAATACAAATTTGACTTACTAACTATACATTTTTACTTAGTTTCTCTTTCTTTTGACTGACAGTAATAGACCTCCATACATATAAATTAAATGTATTTTGTGTATGTCAAAATTTTCAGTATCTCAGTCATAAGCAAAATAATCAGATACTGAGTAGTATGATTTTTATTTGTATAAAAGCCTATAAATTGACAGGCATTACAAATTAATTTATAGGCTATAAATGCTCTGGTATATAGTATTACCATATACATGATGTGATGAATAAATAAATAAATAGAAATTAATTCAATATCACTAGTTAAATTCCGTCATTCTTTTTCACAGATATGATGTATAAAATGAATAAATTCAATATCAGTTAAACATTTTTGCTATTTTTTTCTCCTGTATCCAGGAGCTATACGGACGGAGATCGGTCGTTACTGGGGCTTCTGGTGGGGGTTCTTGGTGAAACCCATCATGTTCCTTTTCTTTGTGGATGCTGAGTTGGGAGCTCAGACCACACTGCACTGTGCCCTGGAGCAAGGCATCGAGCACCTCAGCGGCCACTACTTCTCCAAGTGTGCACCGCACATGAACATCGAGTCGAAGGCAAGAGACGACGCCGCGGCCAATAAGCTGTGGGAGCTCAGTGAGAGTTTCTGCGGCCTGTCCTGAAACCAAGCCTGCAATCTGAGCTTTGGGTTTAATCTTGTATTGTGTGCTCTCTTACACCTGTGCTGTGATTCAACCACTCATTGGGAAAACGCAAGAGTTTGACTGCATCTGAACGCATCAACAGTCTCGACTCAGCTGGGTTAAATATGGCCGGATGAAATCGCCGGTTTAAATGTGATCTAATGTTTGTGATAGTTACTTCTCTATCACATACTTCTCTGCTGCAAGTTTTAAGTCTCTGCAAGTTAATTTGAATTAAATCACTACATCCTGCATCTTTCATATACTCTACAAGAATCAAATATATGGCCACGTACACATTTACATATATTTTGATCCAGCATGTTTTTACATATTAAATGACAGCAGAAATGTGATTTACAGATATAATTTTATATTTTTTTGTATTTGCAATATGTTTATATTTTGTTTTGGTATATATACTGCTTTGAATAAAGATAGTGAACACAGAAATGTGCATTTGAGATGTGATTTTATCATGTTTTTAAAAATATGGCTATTAATGTTTACAATAAAAGTTTACAATAAAACTTGAATAAATAATGAATGAAACATTATATTACATAACTTTTGACTTTATTTTGAAAAATATTTGAAAAGGAAATTTTTATTAATTATGTTTTCTGTTATGCAACTGCAGTATTTAAATAAGAAGTGATTTCATACTTAATGTCTCTAATATGTATATGAATATTTAGAGGGAGACAAAGATAAAAAAAAATGCTGTCTTGGGAAAAGACATGACATTGAACGTTTGTGCATCATCAGCGTAATCATTCACTTACTGGACTTTAGCTGCTTTTAAAGACAAATAGTGCAGGGGTGGACTAAACCTTTTTACGCTTTTATGGGGTGAGAGTAGCCTCAGAGAGCTTCTATTATTTCTTTAAACAAAGTTCAGTCTTTCAACCTATTTATTCAGCCAATTTTAACTTAATTATGGTACTCGTTACTTATTGGTCGGTTTGCAGCCAAGTGTGAAGCAGTCAGGATGAGAGTCAGCACCTCCAAGTCTGAGGCCATGGTTCTCTGCCGGAAACTCTGCCGGAAACTTACTGCCTCAAGCGAAGGAGTTCAAGTATCTCGGGGTCTTGTTCATAAGTGAGGGTAGAATGGAGTGTGAGATGAATCGTGGTTTGGTGCTGCTTCTGCAGTGATCCGGGCACTGCACCACACCGTTGAGGTGAAGAGGGAGCTGAGCCAGAAAGCAAAGCTTTCGATTTACTGGTCCATCTACGTCCCAACCCTCACCTATGGTCATGAGCTCTGGGTAGTGACCAAAAGAATGAGATCACAGATACAAGCGGCTGAAATGCCTCCGTGGGGTGTCTGGGCTCAGCCTTAGAGATAGGGTGAGGAGGAGCTTGGAGTAGAGCTGCTGGTCCTTCGTGTCGAAAGGGGTCATTTGAGGTGGTTCGGGCATCTGATCAGGATCCTCCTGTGAGAGGTGTTTGGGCACGTCCTACTGGTAGGAGGCCCCGGGCAGACCCAGAACACACTGGAGGGATTACATATCTCATCTGGCCTGGGAACACCTTTGGGTCCCCCAGGAGGAGCTGGAAAGCATTGCTGGGGAGAGGGACATCTGGGGTGCTTTGCTTGGCCTGCTGCCCTGGTGACCTGGCCCCGGATAGGCAGACGATAATGGACTACTTACTGAGAAATTAAAAAAAAATGCAAACAAAACCAAACTTTTAATTCCAGATTACTCAGGGCCCCCCTCCTATCAGGGCCCTAAGTATTTAGTCCCACTTTCCCCCCACGACAGCATACTTGTTTATGACATAGTGAGACACAAAGGGAAGTAAAGCTACGTTTATGGGAAGAATCTGAATTTTATTTTTGAATTTATTTTTGTATCTTATTTTTTATTTATCCGTTTTGTGTTTTTGGTTTGAAAAGTGACAAAAAATCTACTAATAACTTTTATTTAATATTAATATTGAAATGTTAAATTTAAATTAAAGAAAAAAACATTATATCAATCTTTAGATTTTTCTCCGTTTTCCACATTTTTAAACAAACAAAAAATAATTAGTCAATAGGGACTTTATTTTGAAGGTGTCCACAGGAAGTGGGTGAATGAGTAGGTGAAAGATCAACTGCAGCGGGACTTTCAGTTGAACATCAATGGGGATGACTGAGCACCGTCAGCAGAACCGGTCGGACCGGACCGAGCCGTGACTCACCGTTCGCCTCAGGCAGGTAGAGCCGGTCGGACAGGTGAGTCCCTGCAGGTGTGCAGCTTATAAAAGGCAGTGATTCCTCTCAGGTAAAGAATCAGACAGCTCTTACTAACCATGTTTCACCTTCTGCTGCTGGCCGGTGTGGTGCTGGGAGGATACATCTTCCTCACACAGACTCTCTTCAAAAGGTCCAAATGTAAAGGGAACGCAGCGATGGCCGGCAAGACCGTCATCATCACAGGTGAGTCTGTTTGTCTGTCTGTCTGTCTGTCTGTCTGTTATTACCGTCGCACTACAGGCAAAACAAGAAGTACACACAGACACTGAAAATCAATGACTCTTGGAACATATTATTTCTGAATGTAATAACCAAGAAAAGCCTTTTACAAATGATATTTTGAAGGAATAATTAATACACACATTAAGACTAGAGCTGAAACAGTTAAACATGGACAGCTTTGGTTTTCAAAGCAGCTTTTCAAAGTCTGCCTCACATGAGCTTCACAATAAAACAGACAAGTCATTAAATTAGAGTTTAAGACTGACAATTTGGTGTATAAAAATGACACAGTGGCTACAATAGGACGATAAAAAATCTACCTGTAAAGTAAAAGTTTGACTTTCTAAATCAAACACAGAGATACTAATTCAAAATTAAGATCCAGATCAAGATGAACTTTTTCGTCCCACAGAGTTGGAAATTTGTCTCGGGCCCTACACCCATACTGCAGCTACAGAAATACAACATAGTACACAGACAAATCAACATTATACCCAACTTAGCAATAAGAGACCAAATATATGAGTAGCCACTGATGATCTTATTGGCTTTTTCCCACGCAGTACAGATCAATCGTTGACTTGTTTCCCATAGTCTGAAAACTTTGACTTGCCATCTCATAATTTTGATATTTTATTTCAACATTTCCGATCATAAATTGACTTGTTCTCCAAAAAAAAAGTCTCAGTAAGTCGTAGTTTTCACTTAGTATCTTCGACTTAAAGGGATAGCTCTGATTTTTTGACGTGGGGTTGTATGAGATCAGTATATTACATAGATGTCAGTTGGCACTCCCCCAGTTTGGAGAAGCAGACTCGAGTCCGATACAGAAGCTAAGCAATGTACTGCTGTGGACAGGGGCAGCAACAAAACGTATTTTAGCCAATTAAAAACAGTCCCATCTGAAACAACCAGTGTCAGTTTAAGTGTACGCTACATTGAGAGTATTTTCACTGCTTTATCTTTCCGTCTCACAGCCTGTTTCGACAGAGCTTCAGTTCCCGGCTAATGCTCTCATCAAAGCCAGACTCCACTGAGAAAAACAGTAATTTTACTTCGCTGAACACAGGAGCTGCTGGTCTGAAGCTGCTTCAATCAGTTAGTTAGTTTGTGTCATCGTGTGACTTTGGTGAATTCAAACTAACCTTGAAAACACCAAAGTCACACAATAACACAAACGAACAAACTGATTGAGGCAGCGGTAGACCAGCAGCTCCTGTGTTCAGCAAAGTAAAATCACATGTTTTCTCAGTGGAGTCTGGCTTTGATGAGAGTGATGCAACGTCTTTATTTTACTGCTGGAAATCACAGAGGATCACTGAAGTAATAAGGATTCATCCTCTCGTCTCGATGCATAAACATTTGTGCCAGTCCATACAATAGTTGTGGAGATGCTTTAGTCTGGACCACAGTGGTGATGGACAGACTGACCGACAGATCTCAAATGTTTCAGCATTTGTTTTTGTTGGTGTGTTCTTGCTGCAGGAGGAAACACCGGCATCGGGAAAGCCACGGCGCTGCACCTGGCCAGGAAGGGAGCCAGAGTGATCCTGGCCTGCCGAAACCGGGACAAGGCCGAGACTGCCATCGCAGATATAACAAAGGTAGGAACGAAAAAGAAGGATTGATCCTTTGCGAAGCCCCGCCCCCTTGTGATGGTCTGTCAGAGTAAGCATGGAGCCCACGCTGTCACTAACTGCACTCCATGAAGAAATATGATCATATTTTTGTAAAAATGAAATAGTGATTCCAGAGAGAAGCAGACAGAGGGGTCTACAGTCTGTGTTTGAAGGATATATTCAGGATGTCAAACTGACTCAGCAGCAACAACAGGTTAAAAAGACAAAGATAGTTAGAAGCTAAAGCCGAACTATAGGCTACAGATCACAGTGTAAAAGTGAACCACCACATCACTGCTGGTCGCCACACAAGACAAGGCAAAGGCGAGACACAGACGAGACAGAATATATGGGATATATAAATATGTATGACTTCTAGTCTTCATATTAAGTCTGTGGTCTTATTATAGTCAGAGGTGGACAGAGTACACAGCTTCACTACTTGAGTAAAAGTACATATACTCCTTGTCAAATATTACTCCAATACAAGTAAAAGTAGCTTAGTCAAAATATTACTTAAGTAAAAGTACTTAAGTATACATACATACAATACAGGAAAGTAAAGTAGCAGAAATGTTTATAGCTCAAAAATAAACAAATAAAGGCAAGAAGCCTCTGAACACAAACTCAGCTGCATTCATCAACAAATGAAAACAAATTTCAGCCCCCAACTGTATTTTTCTTGCAAAAACCCAAATGTCCTTTTCTTGTAGTTACATTTGAACGCATCATGAAGTATACGCTGCAAAAACTCAAAATCTTACCAGGAATATTCGTCTTATTTCCTGTCAAAACAAATCTCATTACACTTGAAATAAGACACATCACCAAAAACGTTACTTGTTTTCAGACAATTTTCTGCTTGTTTCAAGCTCATTTTCACTTGAAACAAGTAGAAAAATCTGCCAGTGCTTGTAATAAGAAGAAAACCTTGCTCCACTGGCAAATTATTCTGCTTATTTCAAGTATCAAAAACCTTGAACATGAGCTTTAGATACGGGCACGGATGCTCGGGGCCGGGGGGAGTTTCTCTGTCGGTTTCTTCCTCCATTGCTGCTGAAGCCATCGACACCACTATCCCAAGATGTGGATGTGAACCGCTAAAGTTAAGTTTGGTTTTAAGCTTGACATAGTACAGGTACGGCAATACAGCTAAGACAAACTATATGCGAATCAGCAGAAACAGTTTATTTTCTGCAGCTGACGTAAGAGCAAAAGTAGTGAGTAACGAGAGCATCAATAGAAATGTCGTGGAGTAAAAAGTACAATGTTTGTCCTTCAAATGTAGTGAAGTAAAAGTAAAAGTATCCCCCAAAAATAATACTCAAATAAAGTACAGATACTCAAAAAATGTACTTAAGTACAGTACTCAAGTAAATTTACTTCGTTACTGTCCACCACTGATTATAGTAGATATCCAACATAGTCTTCACCTGTTGATGATCTTCTTCCAGCAAACAGGAAGTACTGACGTCCTCTACATGCAGCTGGACCTGGCCAGTCTGAAGTCTGTTCGCTGCTTCACTGAAACATTCCTGAAAAATGAGTCCAGTTTGGATCTGCTCATCAACAACGCAGGTACACACACACACACACACACACACACACACACACACACACACACACACAGAGTTACAGAAATACTGTCAGCTGTGTACTAGAGTACAATCTGAACCATCTCAATAGGTAATAAAATATATAACTAACCAGTAGTGTAAAGTAACTGAGTACATTTACTCAAGCACCGTTCTTAAGTACAGTTTTGAAGCACTTGTCTTCTGCTACTTTCTCCTTCTACTCCACTACATCTCACAGGGAAATATTGTACTTTGCGCTGCAGCAGTAGCGGCTCTGGCACATTTGGTGCCCTAACGTCAATATGGGATGAGGTTGGAGTGAGAATGTGTTGACCACAGAGAGCAGGTAATGTGTAGTGAGCTGGGGAGGGGGGAGGGGCCCGGGGGCGACAGGAACCCAGGAAAAATGGCCTCTTTATTACTTAGTAGGCTTTGCTATGTAGTTATGTAGTTATGACCTTTTGTCATATTTCAAAATAATAGTAGTATTGGTATTAGTAATTGATTTTTTTTCCTTCCCCCATTTGTGGCGCCCCCTATGGATGCCGGCGCGCTTAGCATTCACCTATATCGCCTGTGGCTCGGGGCCAGCACTGTACTGCACTCGTTTGTCTGACAGCTTGATGTATGAGGTTTATTTTGATACAACATTTGTGGCTATCACATCTTTAACAGCACACACTGTCACACATTCTTTCTCCCAACACGTCAAATATCAACGCTTAGTCAGTGGCCCCACATGTATAAATATGACACTCTAGGTACCCTCCTGCATTCGTTTTGGACATTCAGGGACAGTATGTCAGTTTACCCTCATTACATGCATTGTGTCTTTTCAAAATAAAAGGAAATGTACAGTTTCTGCTTGTTAAATGCATACAGTCTTTTTCAAAATAAATGTAGAAAGTAGATAAAAGATTCTTCAAGTTTAGGCAACAGAACATGGTTTGGTCTGGAAAACCTTGAAATGAGTATGTTTATTCCTAATGTGACGTAACTATACGTCACTAGCATGGTATGCTCCACATACTAGCACACTATGTCATTTGGGAGCCTGGTATCACTCCGAAGTCGTCAAAATCTGGCGCTTGGGCAGTGGCTTGCGGTGTCAGATGGGTCCAACAAACATCGACTTTCACCTGGGAGAGCAGTGTTCAAGTCCTGTCAGATTATGAAGCCAAGCCCTGTTCTTTTTTCTTAAATCCAACCACGCGTTTTTGTTGATCACAGCAGCATGACTAATGAGTGAAACTTACCTGTGAAGTAATTTGATTAAGCACACTTAAAAGACTCTCTGTTACTGCAGATATTTTGACGTGTCATTGCAAGGAAAAACTCAGGTGAAAGAAATTTCCCGGTAAGACATGACAGTGAGCCAGCAAACACAAGAAGATGACCTTGAGATTATCTCGACGAGATGGAATGCAGTTGTTTGTACTGTGCGAACTGTACCTGTGACTTAGTGTGTAACTCAGCGGTTACAATACCAGTGAAGTTGCACACCTGATGTGGAATGCATCAATCGTCACACGTTTAACAGAACGAAATGTTCACAGGGACGAAGATCTTTAGTCTTCTTCAAGGTGACGTGACTGACACCAGAGTTACATTCAAGACAAACTGGGAGAGTCCTGTGAAAGTGTGATGCATTCACTTGTGAATGTGTGTCACTGAATTAACAAGATAATATTCTCATTAATTCAGAAAAACAATGCTAACATGTTTTCTTGGAGCACATTCAATGCTTTTGTAAAATCCACAGCAGCTGAGCTGGTTAAATTTTAACATTTAATATTTTACTTTTAAGTGATTTTTATTTAATTTTTTTTGCTAATTTAATTGAACCACATCCACCAATAATATTATAACAATATTTTCATAATTATGCATAATATTTCTTATCAAACAAACACATAAAAAAATCAAAAACAATTAATTTAGTTTATAATTTATGAAAAAAGAATATTTTTTAAATTTGTTTTCATGTTTACATTTTGGTATTTTTTATGAAAATTGTTAAATGTCAAACAGAAATATTGACAAGAATGGATATTAATAGCCCAAAAATTTCCTTTTGGTGACACATGACTTCAGAATGAAATTTGAAAAAGGAAAAAGAAAAACAAAAAAAACAACAAGTGTGTCAGCTAGATGTTATTTTATTATTTTTAATATTATCAGTATAATAATAATAATGATAATAATATAAATACCAATTATTATTTTTATTAATATTATTATCATTAAAATTATATTTTTTACTTATTATTATTATATCTATGTATATACATATATTTTTTTTACATGTCCTGTCTTGTGTTAAAGTGACGGCTGCCCTCTGTGATGTAATGTTTAGGCATCACAGAGATGGCTGGTTCGTTGTGTTCAGGTTAACATGAAGGGAAACACACTGCTGAGAAACAAATGTCCATTGCAGCCATGACGCCTGAAACACTCTTTAAATGTAAATCCGTCTGTCCTGCAGGTCTGGTGGCTGACGGGCGGACAGAAGACGGTTTCGGCATCGAGTTCGGGGTGAACCACCTGGGTCACTTCCTGTTGACGTACCTGCTGCTGGACCATCTGAAGGAGGGCGGGGGAGGACGAGTGGTCACTCTGTCCTCTATGGCTCACCGCTGGGGACACATCGACCTGGAGGTGAATCACTGAGACAACACACAACCACACACTTCAGTGATGGGTTCAGAGCCACACAAACTTATTTTAGTGCTTATAGTTCAACTTCTTAATGGGTACACGACAAATTATGACACTGTAATGTTCACGTAAAGTAAAAAAAAAAACTAAAAATATACTGAGAGAGAATCTGGTAAACACAGGGAAGCTTTGCGACAATATGAACAAAAGGAATTTCATTTGTTGTCATCTGAGATAAAATGTCATTGTCTTCCATTCTTAACTTCCCTCTTTGTCTCTGAAATGTCCTCTTTTAATTTTCTTGTTTTCAGTTTTTACCTCTCAAAATACAACAGTTCTCATAACTTTGCTTATATGAGCTCTACACAATATTCAGAGTGTATGAGTTGTCTGCACACGGCTCTCAACATGGAAGTCACTGAGCCAGCAGCCAGCAGCTAGCAGCTAACGGTGCTAACAACGGCAGCAATGCTTACAAAGCTAACGGTGGAGCCCGGTCTCACTCTAAAGTCATGGAAATCCAGCGCTTGGGCAGTGACTTGCAGCATCAGAAACCAATGAGAAAGGCATCCTTAAACGTCGGCATGATATGCAGCTGGTTGCCGTTATAGTTTTTTAGCGAAACCTACCCATGTGCTTCTATTGCCTACGTAGTAAATGTAGTGCGTTTATTTTTAAGGAGACAGTATGCTAACATTAAATTTCCTGTGAAAATAGACAATGTATGTAACAGGCTGAACTTGACTCTGCGTCCCAGAACGTCAACAACCAACACACCCAGGGTACCTTGGACGTCATATGTGGACGTGGAAAGTCCATGACCAAACGTCAATATGTGACGAGGTCGGAGTGAGAATGTGTTGAACATTGTTAACCAGGGGGAAGCAGAGGGTGGGCGCTACGCTTTCATGATGGCTCTGTCCTAATATCAGGGGTAATCTCTGTATGAGTGCAATCAGAGTGACGTCCGTTAGCTAGCCAGTGTGGGATAATAATTAGCGCTATGGCTAGGGTTAGCTTGGTTCGGTGTAAAGTACGAGCTATAGCTGGAATCAAGTCACAAAGACATGGCATTCTGTCGCTCCTTTTCGTTCTGTCTCTGTACTGATGTTGGCTCGTAGAGTATCTGGGTGACCACAGATTCTTGGGGCCATCAGGACAATCTCAAGACTTACAGGCTTTCATGACACAGCGTCACACAAATTTTTCGCTCAAGTTAAAACATCTTCACACAGCGCAAATTCACATCCATTTGTATCTTTACATTGACTTTGCATGTGTTCGGGCCGCGTGAAAAATTCGCTTTGTGTTTGTTTTGAACACACCTTTAGAGTTTCACTCTGTAGTTAAGCTTATTTCAAGACTTAAATTACCATGTGAATCAACTGTTTTTAACTTGCAGCTCGTTTCAGTGCTGATGTTTCATCAGTATAAACAATCTAATGTCAGATAGAATCATGTATCAGTCACAGGAGACATCTTACTGCAGAGCAAGCTCCTTTCCGTCAGTTGATGTAATTAAACCTGAAGGCACAGCTTGTCTTCTGCTCCTGGCTCTGATTCAAATTGAATTATTAAAATATGATTACATAACAGATGAGAAACAGCAGATTATTCAGCATCAGAACAGGTTGTTATGTTTCAGGTTTTGTTCGGTGTGACTGATGTCATACTGCCTCTGTCACATAAAGACATTCTTTCACACCTGCGTGCTCTCTGCAGGTAACATTCCTCCTCTACAGCTCGAGGCTGGGCGGGTTACATCATCACACCATGTCACCTGTGCTCAGCATTGACTTTGTGATCTCTCAGGTGATTCTGTGTTTTCATGAACTTGTTGTGTGTGTGTGTGTGTTTGTGTTGTGTTCAGGCTCTGGCAGCTACCGGACACCTGGGCACCGGCAGGTACAGCTGGCAGTTCTTCCAGGCGTACTGCAACAGTAAGCTGTGTAACGTGCTCTTCACCCATGAGCTCGCCAAGAGACTGAAAGGAACCAAGGTCACCTGCTACAGCGTCCACCCAGGTAACCAAACAAACCCCTGCAAATTACCTGAAGAACAGGCCAAATACCTGTCTGAGGGAAATGTAGTCACTGTCTGAATTACTTTTACAGGAAGAGTGACGTCTTTTTTGAGGTCCCGGAGATGTAAAAGCCTTTAAAAGTCTCCATACAGGCAGAAAATATGTCTGCATTAACATTGCTACGTACATCATGCATCAGCATATAACAGCTGTACGATATCTTAAAAAAAATACACATACAATTGTCTGTATGATAGCTAATAAATTCACACCCCTACTGTTTAGACTAGGTTTAGGAAAAGAATCATTGTTGGTCGTTGTCACAAAAGTACTTCATGTTAACTTAACCAGGTTACGCTAAGGAGAAAAAAAGTGGTTGGTGCGTTGTCACATTAAATATTTAACGCAAAGTTACATAGGTTAGGTTTGGGAAAAAAAATATATGGTTGGGCGTCTTCACATTATGTACTAGATATAACGTTACTTAGTTTAGGATAGGAGAGTAAAATTACGTAGGTTAGGTTTAGGAAAAGAAACATGGTTGAGTGTCTTCAAATTATGTACTTAACGTTAAGTAACATACTCAAGAAAAGTTAGATAGATTAGGTTTTTGAAAAAGAAACATGGTTTGGCGTTGTCAGGTAACGTACTTAATGTAAAGTTACATAGGTTAGATTAAGGTAAAAAAAAAAACAGTCGGTTGTTGTCACGTTACGCACTTAACATTAATTAACAAAGTAAAGTTACATTTGTTAAGTTTAGGAAAAGAAACATAGTTGGGCGTTTTCAGGTTATGTACTTAACGTAAAGTTACGTAGGTTAGGTTTAGTAAAAAGAAACACGGCTGATCGTTGTCACGTTCCATACTTAACATTAAATTACGTACTTAAAGTTACGTAGGTTAGGTTTAGGAGAAGAAAGATGGTTGGGTGTTGTCACAGTACGTACTTAACGTTATTTAGGAAAAGAAACACGGCTGATCGTTGTCACGTTCCGTACTTAACATTAAGTTACGTACTTAAAGTAAAGTTACTTAGGTTAGGTCCAGGAGAGGAAACATGGTTGGGTGTCGTCACATCATGTACTTAACATAAAGGTACACTGGTTAGGTTTTGGGGAATTAAGTTACGTAGGTTGGGTTTAGAGAAGAAACATGGTTGGGCATTGTCAGGTTATGTACTTAAAGTAAAGTTACGTAGGTTAGGTTTAGGAGAGTAAAGCCATTTAGGTTAGATTTAGTTAAAGAAACATGGCTGATCATTGTCACATTACGTATTTTATGTTAGGTGGCGTACTTAAAGTAAATGTTATGTAGGTTAGGTTTAAGGATTCAAATAAGGAGGAGGAGAAGGAGAAGGAGAAGAAACATAATTGGGCGTCGTCAGGCTACATACTTAACGTAAAGTACGTACGTTAGGTTCAGGAAAGGAATGTTATGTAGGTTTAGAAAAAGAAACATGGTTGGGTGTCGTCACGTTACGTTCTTAAAGTTAAGATTTGTAGGTCAGCTTTAGGAAAAGAAACATGGTTTGGCATCACGTTATGGATATAATGTAACAACATGACAATGTACCCAAAAATAATAATAATAATGATAAGTAAAATAAAATAAATAATAAAATAAAAATAAATAACTCAGAGCTCATTTTCTGTCACACTGCATATGAACACCAGTCTCGTGGAATTAGTTGAAACTTGGCAGCCAAGTTTAAAACAAGCTGGAGACAGGAAATGGCCTTTTTATATATCAGACTTCCACTGTTTCCACTTTTTAATGCAAATGCAAATTGACAGAGCACATTAAAAACAGGTAAGTTTAAACACATTCATTGGCAGACACGTGATAACAACAGCACAATGAAGAACCAAACCCAGAGTTCTCATTAAATGCTTAAATCTCTGACATGTTTACTTCGTTCACTGGAAGGAATCTGACAAGAATGCAGTGTGCGTTCATGTAAGAGATTAATGTATGTATGTTTCCAAGGGCAGCTGGTGAGAACTGCACGAGTCAGAAACTGGTAACTCCTGTACGACTTCAATGTGACAGCAACTATTTCAGGTGTTTACAATGAGGACATTGGGACTTTATTGTCTCGTTTGTGGACATTGGGACTTTATTGCTGTCTCGTTTGAGGGCACTGGGACTTGTCTCGTTTGTGGACATGTCTCGTTTGAGGACATTGGGACTTTATTATTGTCTCATTTGAGGACACAGGGACTTGTCTTGTTTGTGGACATGTCTCATTTGAGGACATTGGGACTTTATTATTGTCTTGTTTGAGGACATAGGGACTTTATTATTGTCTTACTTGAGGACACTGGGACTTAATTGTCTCCTTTGTGGACATTGGGACTTTATTGTTGTCTCGTTTGAGGACACTTTGACTTGACTCATTTGAGGACATGGGGACTTTATTATTGTCTCGTTTGAGGACATTGGGACTTTATTATTGTCTTGTTTGAGGACATTGGGACTTTATTGTCTCGTTTGAGGACATGGGGACTTTATTATTGTCTCGTTTGAGGACATGGGGACTTCATCATTGTCTTATTTGAGGACACTGGGACTTAATTGTCTCGTTTGAGGACATGGGGACTTTATTATTGTCTTGTTTGAGGACATGGGGACTTTATCATTGTCTTATTTGAGGACATTGGGACTTAATTGTCTTGTTTGAGGACATGGGGACTTTATTATTGTCTCGTTTGAGGACATGGGGACTTTATTATTGTCTCGTCTGAGGACACTGGGACTTAACTGTCTTGTTTGTGGACATTGGGACTTTATTGTTGTCTCGTTTGAGGACACTGGGACTTGTCTCGTTTGAGGACATGGGGACTTTATTATTGTCTTACTTGAGGACACTGGGACTTAATTAGTGTCTCATTTGAGGACAGTGGGACTTTGTCGTCTTATTTGTGGACATTGGGACTTTATTGTTGTCTCATTTGAAGACATTGGGACTTTATTTTTTATCTCGTTTGAGGACATTGGGATATTATTGTTGTCTTATTTAAGGACATTGGTTTGACAACACCATAAAATACCTGTGGGCGTGGTCACAGGTGAGGTAGAGTACACCTGTGATGTCAGGTGTGGTCCCACGTGCATCAGACTTGAACCTTTGAACCCACAGTTGTTTTCATTGACACAGAGCTCAGCGTGAAGTTGATCTAACTGTGACGCTGAGGTCTGAGAGTCTTCTACAGCTCTCAGTATTTTAACCGGGTGTGTCTGTGCTCTCCTGCAGGTGTGGTTCGGACTGAGCTGTCCCGTCACGTCAGCCTGTGGCAGAAAGTCTTCATCGAGCCCATAGCGCGGCTGCTGTTCCTGGACCCCGAGGCCGGCGCTCAGACCACGCTGCACTGCTCCCTGCAGGAGGGAATCGAACCTCTGAGCGGACGTTACTTCTCCTGCTGCGCCATGCAGGAAGTGTGCGCCCGGGCCCGAGACGACAACATGGCCCAGAAACTGTGGGAAGTCAGCGAGAAGCTCTGTGGACTCTCTTAAGGTGGAATGACCACAAAGGACTTTTTCTGAACCTTAAAGTGTTTGTGAAGTCCAGGAGCAGTAACAGTTTCCTCTGGTGTTCCAGTGTGATAAGTTCATGTTCGTATAAGTTGGTTTATAAGTTTTGCTGTGCAGCATTTTGTAATTACAGTATTCCTCTCACACCATCACTGCCCACATATAACTGTGGATCTTTATTTTATTACTTGAGAAAAATGTATTGTTTGGATTCACTGAATATGACAGGAATCTCTGTTGGCAGTTCTTTTTGATTAATTTGCTCATATTTGACTAAATTTTATTTTAACAAACCTGAATTCTGAAGCAAATGTCAAACTTTTCAGAGCTGACTGATATCAAATGACACATTTCCTCTATATCTGAATATATATATATAAATATATTAAAAAAACAGCTGTTAAAAAGTTAAATATCTTGTAAAGCTTACAGTGTTTTTAAGTTTTATTTTTACTTTATCTCTTTTATTACAACCTTTAGTCCACCTGGTGTGTTTGTAGTTGTAGATTGTACAAGTGTCGTGTTAACTTGTGTAACTGTCTCAATAGAGTTGATAAAAAAATAAAATTATAAATAGAAGAAATGTCAAACACACGAAGAAGTGTTTGGTCTACATTGCTGGTTCCCAAACCTGGGGGTCCCGGCCCCCAGTAGGGCTCGCCAAAGCTTCACGGGGGGTCATGAGGCTTTCTTGATTTTCAGAGGTGTAAAAAAGCTTTTTTTTTTGTGCTAAAACATATTAATGAACACTCATTTAGATCTTATTAGTGATGTTGATAGGTTAAATTCAACTTAAAAGGCTGTGTCACCTTTATTACGAGGCTGAAATATGTTTTGCGGTTCCAGACATTTTTTCTTTTTTGGCCAAAAATGGCTCTTTTGATGGTAAAGCTTGTCGACTCCTGGGGACACATTGAAGTCTTTTGAGGACTTAAGGGTCGGTTACCAAATTCTAGCCATGCACTTTTTCCGATTTTCACAGTTCCGACATTTTATACAGTCTAAACAAGGAGGCTCTCTAGATCGACCCAAGAACTCCCCATTGGAGTCGTTATTGTTTGACGACAATCTAGGTAAACACATATCACAAATATACAGCTTACTAATTAAACATTCAAGGGTTAATACAACAGTCACGTGGGAACAGGACCTGAGTATTCAGATCATAGACAAACGCTGGGGTGAGATTAATGAGCGGTCAAAGAGAATTTGTATCAATACCAGGTATAGACTCTGCAATTCGAAATTTATACAGTACATAGGGCCTACTTTACACCTGAGAGACTGAGCCGTGTTAAAACCAATTCTTCCCCTCTCTGCTCCGTTGTAAACCAGAGCTCAAACACATGGTGTGGTCTTGCCCTAAGCTTGGACAGTGGTGGTTTGAAATTGAGAACATCCTCAGAAATGTGTTGTTACAGGATATATCTTTAACACCTGGGATCTCAATGTTGGGAGATCTGACTGATCTGAAGCTCCCGTCCCAAAGGACAAAGGGTTTTGTGAGCCAGCCATTACAGCTGCCAAAAGATGCATCACGAAGATCCCCCTGATATGGTGGTGGATTAATGAGGTCAATTCATGCGTTCCCCGAGAGAAAATCACCTGTGCTATTAGAAGTCGCCCACGGCTGTTTCATAAGACTTGGGACCCATGGATGACCTCTCTCTTCTCATGGCACTGGTTCTATACAGTGTTATGTTGTGTTTTGTTATGTTCTGGTATGTCATCTCTGTCTTCAATGAATGTGAAAAATGAATAAACAGAATTTTCACAAAAAAAAGGTTGCCAACTCATGAGCTAATAGAACAATGGCTGAGCCACAGGGAGAAGAAAACATTACATTAAAGGATTATTAAGTATGTGTGATTGTTTAACATTTTAAATATACATAAATCAGACAGAATCACATTAAAAAGTTCCTTAAAATATCAGGAAAAGTCATCTCTGATTAAATAGAACAAAAAATAATCTGCTCAAACTTCATCCAAATCATTGTTTTGCAAAAACTTCCTGCAGTTACGGCATCAACTGTTTGAGTTAATTGTACAGTTTATCAGTTGTTCTGTACTGTCTTGAATATAATAAGAAATATCGTCAGTTTACTCTGATAGAAAAGACACCCCAGAAGAAAAGAGGTTGGGAACTGCTGCCCTACATTATTGAGGACATGCTGTGCTGCTGCCACCTAGTGGCTGATGTCTGAAGCATCAGACTGAATCATTTGTGAAGGAGACATTCAGATCAGTAACAACACAGTTGGTGCTTCTCAAAGTCAAAGAGGTAAACCTAAACGGCTACACCATTGAATCTGACCAAAGGACTGCTCCTGTGTCAAGGATCCTTCAAATTCTACCAAGGGACGAGTGTTTCAGTCAGAGGATTTGTGTGTATCCCAATTCTTTATCCACAATTTGCCAGAATTGAAGGCAGGGCCTCTTCAATGACCAACACATTCTCACTCCGACATATTGATGTTTTTGTCATGGACTTTCAACGTCCACATACGACGTCCAAGGTACCCTGGGTGTGTTGGTTGTTGAAGTTCTCAGACGAAGTGTTAACTTCAGCCTGTTACATGCATTGTCTGTTTTCAAGATAGACTTCTGTTTTCACACGAAATTCAATGTTTACATACAGTCTCTTTCAAAATAAAAGCACTACATCGGTGCAACAATGCAAATTGACGTTTTATTTCCCCAACAACAAACACACGTGGTTGGATTTAGGGGAAAAAAACAGGGTTTGGCTTTACAATCTTACGGGATGCAAACCCCACTCTCTCGGGTGAAACAAACTTTAAGGTGGAATGTTAACTTGTAATGTTACTCAATGCATGAGTTGATGACGTGAATCCATCAGCACACCTTAAATTTCACTGTGACAACTTTGACCATCACTTTAGTTTTTATATGACACACACTGTTAATAATGAGTGGATCTTCAAGCGTTTATATTAATTTCGGCCGGGTTATGTGAAGGTCATATATTCTAATCCTCACTTCCTGTGGGCTACAGCAACACTAAACCCCTGAGCTTGCCTGAGAAGGACTAAATGCACAAAGCTGCTATTTTTAAATATCCCATGGAGAGAGACTCTCACTGCAGCCTGTTCTATTTTGTTCTGAAAATGTGGGCGTGCAGCCTCGTTCTGTGGACGATAAACCAGGTGCAGACTTCCATCTGTGTCACCGCTGATGAGGAAATACAGCGAGTGCTGGACGGAGCAGTGAGTGACAACAACCTCGCCCACATTTAAGAGGCCTGTCTGAACAGACCGAGGGTCTAGGTACCATGTCTGAAGGGTTACTGCTGGTTCCAGAGGTACTATACCGACAGTGTTTGGTGGAAATGGGGCTTTAAATGAGTAATTATTAATGAGACATGGACAGTGGTGGAGGAGGTATTTAGAGCCTTTACTGCAGTAAAAGTACAAATACCACAATTAAAGTCCTGCATTAAAAATATTCCTTAAGTGAAAGTATGTAAATAAAACAAGAACAAGAGCTGATGAGAATAAACACATTTGTAAATCACACAAAGTTGAAAAGCAAGTACCTCAAATTTGTACTTAAGAACAGTACTTGATTAAATGTCTTCAGTAATGGATTATATATTTTTTACGTACCTTGAACCGACACTGCTCACGTCAATAAACTGTTAAAGTGTGTTTAAGTCAGTAACTTATGTTGGGTTTACACGGGAGTGAGAAAGCATACAAAGTTAATGCAAAGACCAGACAGCCAGGCAACACAATGACACAAACGTGCGAAATTTGCAATATTTGCTCAGGTTGACATTTTCAGCTTTTTTAATTCCTTGTAATACACTATGAACCAAGTGAACGTTAGCTGTTAACTGCCTTCCCCAGTTAGTTAGCACAGCCGTTAGGACAGCGGTTAAGGACGAATATTCGCAAAGTGTGTAATACTCCCAACACTCCAGCAACTTTATAATCATGCAAGGTAAAAATCAGCATGGCGTTCGGTGTGAACACAACATTAAGCACATGAACTCAAAAACTGGGAATTCAAAAACACTCAAAACAATCCCTCTTTAGTTATTTTACACAACAGACACCCTGATTAAGAAAAAAACCCAGAGCACCCCTGCTGAATCCAGCGATGATCCATCAAAGCTTTAACAACAGACAAGTGAGACACATTAACCAGTGAACACTACACTGGTTCAGTGGAGCTGCTCATCAACTGCATGTTCACTGTGATGTCTGTTTCATCTTTGGCCCGTTCTTCTTTAAAATCCTCTCCCTGCAAAGAGAAGACAGTCAGCACAGATTCCTGCTGGACACAACACATGGACAACGTAACATTACCGTCTTCTTCTGTCTGTTAATGTGACGGCTTTTTGTCACTCAGTCAGAGAAGACTTTCTGTTAATGTTCCTCACAGCTTCATTTAGATGTTTACAGAAAGAGACTCTGGCTGATATTTAGCACTTGGTTAAGAAGAGGAAGGAGTATCACTGCTGGAAAACTGGTGATTTGAAAAGTTCTCTCTCAGGCTGCATCATCACTGGATTTGAAAGGAACAATATTAAAATGGGTACTGCGGTCCAAATTTAATATCTGAGAGTGGTCTACCCGTGGCCCTGTGCTGCCCAGACTCCAATCTCAAGTGGGTTGTCAGGTTGAGGACACTGAACCTACACGAGCGCAAGACGAGCACAACTCTAACAATAACAAGCGACACTGAATCCGACAGGCTAATGTATACGTTTACAATGTATTTACTGTTTGCAAATGTCACACTAGTTGATGCTAAGGTAGTAAACAAACTCAATCCAAGAAAAAATGTTGGCATTGTACATTTCTGCAAACCATATGTGACATTTGTACATTATTATGTAGCCATTATGTTGAAACTTCATCATTCATGTGGTTAAGTTTGGTGGCTAAAATGCCACTGGAAATGCTGCAATGTGTTGCTATAAAACACACAGATTTGGTGGTACAATATCTGTTGGAAATGATGCTGGAAACATTGCAATGCTGCAAAACAACCAGGTTTGGTGGCACAGATGCAGCTGGAAACTCTGAGATGCAAAGTTAAAAAAACACAAAGGTCTGGTGGCAGAAACTGTGCTCGAAACGCAGCTGGAAATGCTTTGATGTGTCACTGAAGACACATGAAAGGCTGAAAAAGTCACTGGAAATACTGCTAGAAATGCTGTAATGTGTTCCTAAGAAACATCCAGCTTTGGTGGCACGAACGTCACTGGAAATGCCACAATGTGTCACTAAAAAACACCCAGGTTTGGTGGCACAGATATTGCTGGAAATGCCACTGAAAATGCTATAGTGTGCTATAGTGTGCTATAGTGTGGCACAACTGCCTCTGGAAACACTGCAATGAATTGCTTAAAAAAACTCAGGTTAGGTTGCACAAACATTGCTGTAAATGCAGTGATGCATTGCTACAAAAATAATTTGTTTGTTGGCACAAACACTGCTGGAAACACTGCAATGCATCACTAAAAACCACCAAAGTGTGGTGGCACAGTCACTGCTGGAAAAGCTGTGATGTGTCACTAAGAAACACCCAGGTTCAGTTGCACAAAGGTGGTTGTAAACACAGCGATGCATAGCTGTGATGTGTTGCGAAAGACACCCTGGTATGTTGACACAAACACCGCTAAAAAAGCTGTGATACGTTGCTAAGGTTTAGTGGCAACTCCGGATGTCAGCTCCTATACATGTTATTAGAACTGTGTCACTTTAGAAACATATGAAACTTACAAATGAAACGTCTCCATGGTTTGCAGACATGAACAATACCAACATTTTCCTCTGGTGACTGGCTGCATAACCAGCCATGTCCCGTCTGCTCCGTTAGCATGTGTTAGCATGAAGGTGTTAGACAGCCTGAGTTGGGGTCACTTCTTCAGCTGTGTGTCTCAAATACTTGCTGCCTTGATAACCCAGCTGCACATGAACCACAGAGAGATGTTCATGTTGTTGATGTTGAACTAGTGATACAATATTTCCCTGGATTTTACGACAACCACCAATCTGTATCGACAGTACTGACCTTGGACATTGAGATGTACGAATCTCTGCAATAGGACGTCTCTGTACCCGCAGACAGTGCAGAAGTACATGGAGCTGTCTGCCTGAGTGGGTTTAATCAGGGTCAGACTGAGATCTCCAGTTTGCAGCAGGTTTTTATTCAGATGGCCCCTGTAAGAGTTTTTCTTCTTCCCAGGCTGGTTCAAATTGACTGCAACGAGTGTGCCAGTGTCCATACGACACCACTCCACTGTTGCATCTCCAGGCAGCTTAACACAAGTCCTGAATGGCAGTGTGACAGATTTAGCACACTGCCTGACCTCCACTTCCTTAATGACAGCTAGAAGGAAAACAAACCACAACATCAGTTTTCAGTTTTACAGTTTTTAGCAGAGGTACTGAAGTTAGGAGGAGCAGTGGCCTACACTGACATCCATCTACAATACTGACGTTTGACAGTGAGGTGTACGACCTTCTGCATCCAGACTTTTGTGGCACAGTGGACGGTGCAGATGTAGGTGGCACTGTCTCTACCCCAGGGTTCCCTCAGGGTCAGACTGAGGTCTCCAGTTTTCAGTGGCTCTTTCTCCATCTTTGTGCGGTTGCAGTAAAACTCGTCCTGCCCGACAAGCAGGTCACTGCCATTCTGATAATTGTGGATCATCATGGGCTTGGGGGCACAGCGGCTCCACTCCACTACAGTGTAATCAGGCAGCTGGACTTTGGTTTTGCAAGGAAGCTTGACAAGCCACACCCCCTCTTCCACCTCCACCTGGGAGACTGAGAAGACAAGAAACAGCTGCATACAAACACACAAACTGTACTAGAAGCTTTCAGAGGTAACAGGTGACAACATACAACATACCTGGAATGGTGGTGTACCAAAAATATACTGCTAGACCCGCAGCAAAGACAACAGCCAGGACAGCAAAGGCTCCAGCAGGGAAAGTGGGCAGTTCTGTGGGCAACAAAAACAAAAACATGAGCTTCACATGAGCCTAAAACAATTATTTTAATGCTTTATGAAACATTTATACTGAGCAGCAACCTCCAAGACTGAAAAATTAGAGGCAATGGGGAAGTGCAAAAAACTGCAGTTGCATGGCCACTTGAGGCTGACTCCAAAACAGAGTCAGTCCCCACAGACCCCATGTTAAAATGCCCAACTTTCAAACAGAAATTAACATGTTTACAGCCTGGTACAAAAAACAGTTTCTGTCTTTACAGTTAATTTCAACATTTATGACAACTGTACAGAGGGTGAATTTTTTTTTAAAAATTACCCATTTACATTTTATTGAGGCCCGAAGTTACGCATAATTAAGGGCACAGCTTTTGAGTGACAGGCTGTCTGCGAGGTACTGCAACACTCTGCGAGTTAGATCCACCCCTAGCTCCTCAACAGCTCCACCCTCTCATCCAAATATGGTCACTTCTTAACTCCAAAAAGCCCAGATGGCGGCTTCAAAACAGCAGTCCACAAACCAATAGGTGATGTCACGGTAGCAACCTCCATTATTATATACAGTCTATCAGTTATAGAGACATGCTGTGACAACTGGATATCATGTTCAAAAAACAATCAGACAAGTATCAATTGGCCAGATGGACTGCAGCTGTGGTGGCTGCTAAAACAAAATCCCGGGTGTGGGCGAAGTTCAGGGAGGCTATGGAGAAGGACTTTTATTTGGCCTCAAAGAAGTTCTGGCAAACCGTTAGATGCCTCAGGAAGAGAAAGCAGGGCTTGTCTCAGGCTATCTTCAGCAGGGGAGGCGAACTGCTGACCAGGACTGGGGATATTGTTGAGCAGTGGAAAGAATGCTTTTAGGAACTCCTGACCCTCCATCACAACCTCCATGGAGGAGGCAGAGTATGAAGACTCAGGGGAACCCTTGTCCATATCCCTGACAGAGGTTGCTGAGGTAGTCAAAAAGCTCCTTGGCAGCAAGGCATCAGGTGTGGACAAGATTCGCCCTGAGAAGCTGAAGGTTCTGGACATTGTTGGGCTGTCTTGGCTGACACACCTTGTCAGTGTTGCTTGAAGGTCAGGTATAGCACCTGTGGAGTGGCAGACTGGGGTGGTGGTTCCCCTTTTTAGAAAAGGGGACCAGAGGGTCTGTTTGAATTTTCAGGATATCACACTGCTGAGCCCTGCTGGAGGCCTGAGAGGACTAGAAAGATTAGAAAGATTAGAAAGATTGTTCTCTTCACGATTTCCCTCATCAGCTTTTATTATGGATATAAAGTCAGAAGTTCAAAGTCAGAGAGTCTGTCTGTCAGCAAGAAACACTTCTTACATCACTGACTATCATTTCCATTCGGTCACACCTGAGGCTGATCGTTCGAGTGTCGGGTTGATGAGTTACACAATTTAAATTTTCCCTGAAACATTTGGCTTAATAAATTATTTCCAGTGTTCAAAGACACTATAATCATATTCTGGGTTATTAAATAATGAATTCACAATCCGAATATCAATACATGGGGCGTTGGTGGTTTGGTGGTAGAGCAGGCGCCCCATGTACAAGGCTGTTGCTGCAGCGGCCCAGGTTTGACTCCAGCCTGTGGCCCTTTGCTGCATGTCTCTGTCCCTCTCTCTCTCTCTCCCCCTTCACGCTTCACTATCCTATCAATTAAAAGCAAAAATGCCCTAAAAAATATCTTAAAAAAGAAAAAAGAAAAAAAGAATATCAATACATACAGACGCAAATAAGAATAAAATTTAAAAAACCCAATAATGATAAAATAAAAATAATAGAACTAATAATATTCTTATAAAAACATTCTGTGACTCTGAGCAGGACACAGTACAGATTATATATA